TTTTTTAATATGATAACTTTTTATTTATATAAAAAAACCAAAAAAAAAACATTTTTATCTTTTTTTTTGAGCGTATAAATATATATTTTATAGATAAAAAAAAACAAAAAAACACTTTTTTCCTGATCGCTTTTACGCTGTTTGTAGGTGTATAAGTTTATTTTTTTCCGCTCATCTTGTGTCCCCACGCAAGTACGAGTGTATTTTCGATATGCACTCACACGTTTTATTTTTCCTCTTTTCCAGGACGGCTGGAAAAGAACGACGAAGTTTCGCAAGGAACCGAAATTTTCATTGTACTATATTTCTTTATTGCTATGTTGTACATTTTGGTCCCATAGTTTAAGGAAAGACGACCAGATGCTGCTAAACGAAGCAAGCTATCAGAAGAGTGTTTACCAGCGACAAACTCGTTGGGTTTAAACTTCTGGCTAGTCACGTCTTAGGGGCATCACTACCTCACCAGGGGGGGGAGTGATCTGTAGCTGTAAATAATTCCCCAAAATCAATAGTTCATTAAGTGTTCGACATTGGATTCTGACCACGTGTTTAAGTGGACTTGTTTAGCTGAAGGCTTTCGGTCATGCATCCGCACCAGATCATGTTTCAACACGGCGTGGGACACAGCTCCTACGTTTCATTAGCCAGCTCATAGAAAAGGTCCTCGATATATTGGTAACGAATCAAATATATCTTTCCTGCCTCTTCTCGTCTGACTTCTGATTTCTATATGACTGGGAACGATCAAATATAGAAGGTGCTACTGGTAGCTAGTTGTAAAACTAGAACATCCGTTGCAATCATCATTGGTGAGACCGACGTGATCTGGTACACCAAGTCAATATACTGTGAGTCTGTTCCATTTTGAAATATTATTATTCATTGTTATTGTTTATTTGAATTTTATATATTGTGATATACTGTTTTTTCGCAATTTTTTCGCGGATATATTTTAATTAGACATTTTTTGTTATCTATATTACTATGACGGAACACTCTCCTAAGGTTCTTAAGTTTAAGTCTATTCCCCCTATTTCGATTCAGTTAACGCCATTTTGGCCCAACAATATCGAGTCCTGGTTCTGCTATGCAGAGGCCGATTTTTGCATGCACGGAATCACGGACTCGCGCACACGTTTCCTCGCGGTAGTTAAGGCGTTACCGCGCGAGTTTAACAGGTACGTAACACCTAGTATGTTTACTAGTGATGTTCCCGAACCTTACGAAACGCTTAAGCGTGTTTAAGTGGACTTGTTTAGCTGAAGGCTTTCGGTCATGCATCCGCACCAGATCATGTTTCAACACGGCGTGGGACACAGCTCCTACGTTTCATTAGCCAGCTCATAGAAAAGGTCCTCGATATATTGGTAACGAATCAAATATATCTTTCCTGCCTCTTCTCGTCTGACTTCTGATTTCTATATGACTAGGAACAATCAAATATAGAAGGTGCTACTGGTAGCTAGTTGTAAAACTAGAACATCCGTTGCATCATTAAGGTAAAGCACGGTGTACTCGTCCATGATCTGGTGCAAGGTTGTCGTTCTTCTTGGCTTTGATAAATACATAGGTATTGATGAACTGTAACATGTAGACTCACATATGTAACACCGACTGAGCTGCAGTGCAACCAGAAACTAGCACTGGCAAAATGGAGCAACAAAGAAGGAACAACGCTTGATGTTTTTCATGGTTATCAGTTAGTATTCGTGTCAAGATATTTTGTTGAAAATGAAACCCATTGTGCAATATCGTTTGTTTGCAAGAAGAACGTGTGATCTGAATAAACATTTTCGCGCGATAGGAACCGTAAAACATTCAACAGAATGAATACGTACTTCAGTATACAACAAATGCATCACCAGGATATTGATCAAAAAGTACTAACGAATGTTTTCCTTCTCGAAACTGTGCAGACAACATTATCTATTTTTTCTATGAGGAATCAAGTTTATGTTTTTTTTCATGTTTCATAGCAACAATATTCAAGAAGAAAACTAACGATTTTTTATCTCATCTACAATATTGGACATTAGATCCCTACTAAGGTCGTGGCTTCAGCGCTTCCTTCTAAACTATTCTCACCTTACGCTCATGAACTTATGGTTAGTTCATTTTTTGATCTCCTAAATGTGTGACACCTATTCCGTTTGCATGAATTTTAGTTATAAATTTGGTTTGTGTAAGTGTCTGTGAATTGTAGGTACTTTTCTGTCACCAAACATGCGATGTTGTTAGGACTTCTCAGTCTTTCTTAAAGCTAAGTTTTTGAGTCTAATATACAAGTAATTTTGAAAAACATCGATTCGGACACAATTATGTATGTAAATTTTCACGTTTTTGTCGTTTTTTCAAGGTCGTATGTCACAACCTATACTTTTTTACTTAGAAAACCTTTATTGTAAATGGTTTACAATGTGATCTGTTATCAGCATAATTATCCCTAACGCCACTGCATTTTTCCTCTTCTAATTTTTGTAAGGTACCCATCTCTTAAATAACGTATCTAGTAGTCACCAATATATATCTTCGATGATTTGTAGTTCTTAGTATGTAATAATCTTTTGGCTAAAAAACAATTCGAAACACCAGTTCATCGTTTGTTCAGTAGGTGGCTGAGTTAGATAAGCACAACAAGTGAGGTTGGGGTTCACTATTATTTATGAAAAGATTATTTCGGTTTCACCGTCTTAATTAAATTCCCTAGACAAATCACACATTTAAATACTCAGCTTATTGTGTAAGCTTTAACTGCAGGAGGTTGTACTCAATATTAGTCGTTTCATAACAGGTTTTTCTTGGAATCGTGTTTAGAAAATTATTCTCACCAGTGAGCATTAATTTCTCGGAAATACTTCGTTTTGTCGCTTTTTTTCTCGTTTTTCAAAATGTATTTGCTTTGAGATTTTGAAGTAGATTTAGTTTCGAAAAACTTCTGATGTTATATCTTGCTCAGCCTAAAGAAATATCAATTGTAACTGTTTATAACTGAGATGCCACCTATCGAGTTTTCAGGTTGTAACTGACACTTAAATTGTGCTGAACGTCGTTACTTAACTTCATGGAAAGCTTCCTTTTTTACTTCGAATCAAAGTGCTCACCTGAAGTAGGATTGAAGTTCGAGGTTAATTAGAAAGAAGTTAAATCATTGTCGGAATAAACGTTTTGATATGTGATAGATATCATTTCCCATTTTTAATTTTATCTTTGTAAACCCATACTTTTTATTTGGTTATTAAATCCTTATCCATTTACCAGTTTTTAATTGTTGCACTTTGTTTCTAGGACCTAATCGATTTTCACATTGATCTGTTTTTTATTTTTACACTCGTAAAGTGCTTTGTCTGGACTTTATCTAAAAGTACTAGCATTTTCATAGATACTTTCATTTTCATCTATGTTTAGCAAATTTTACTACTAAAAAGAATCCTACCTATCACTTAATTATCTGATCTCTCACCGTTATCTTAAAGTTTGCGTTTGTGGCAAATCCTAACCAACTTGGGACATACTCAGAGCTAATAAATAATCCTACAACAATTTGAGCTAATTCAGTACAGCTTCAAAGTAGCTTCAACAATAGCAGATCTTCCCCATGAAATTCAAATATTGGACCCTTAGTGTCGCGGTCAGATATCTTACAATTGAAACGTTTGGGGTGGTCGATGAATTTCTGTATGTCTAACGCTTTTGCTGTCCATTGAAGCATGAAAAGCACCTATCGGATGGGAATCTCATGAATCCAAATTCATCAAAGCATTCTTCTAAACAAAAGTGGTGGGGATCACGAAGAATATTATGCAGCGCTTAGCACCAATCAACGATAGCAATGAAGACGACAATGAACAGTTTTACGAAAAGATGCAATAAATCGTTGTGAAGTACACAGGAAGAGACCTGACCATTCTGATGGGAGACCTAAACGCCAAAGACAACATCTGACATTAAGATATCTTGGGGCGAAATGTGCTGTGAGAAAGTAATGAGGATGGAGAGACACTTGCATATTTGTGCACATTCAACAAAATGGTTATAGATGCCACTATATTCCCCCGCAAATGCATACACAAAGCTACAATGGTTTCACCGGATGACACTACAGAGAGCCAGATCGTTTATATCTGTATTGGTTCTGAAGAATACTAGTTCGCGGATATTATGGCCATTTATGCAAATCTCTATATCGGGAACAAATAAAATCCGGATGATAGAAACTGTGATGAAATTTTCTTGTTTTTTTAAAGCAGATGAACGATTCCTAGTTATGACAATAAAGTGATCTTATAACTGTTAAACTTTTAAACTGATGATCAAGTTAAATTATTTAGTGAAAGTTAGTATTCCAACTAAGATTATGAGAATAATCTTTTCAAAACATATATATTGAAATTGAATATAGTGCAGTCTGAAATACATTAATATGTCACTATCCACTTAATATTTCATTAACTTCAATTAAAATTTCCGAACATCAGCTATTTACACAATGATTTCTTTGAAATATTTATATACCGAGCGTTTAGCTGCCCCCATCTCTCAGATATACTGTATCATAGACAAGACAGCAATATAGTTAGTTCTTACATAATAACTATGACTGATTAACCAGGATTAAAACTTGTCCAAAGTTACTTAATTCATATATGAAGAGTATTATCTGCCTTGGGACATATGTAATTTATTATTGAGCATATAGATATATTCGTTGCTAGTAACTTGCCATATAGGACAGACATTGAGGAAATCACCCAACTGCATTACAAGACAAGCCGTCACATGGAATCCTGAAAGCCAAAGGAAAAAAGGAAGACCAAAAAAACACATTACGCCGAGAAATGGAGACAAACATGAGAAGAATGGACAAAAATTAAATAGAATTAGAAAGGAAGGCCCAGGACATAGTGGGTTGAAGAATGCTGGTCGGCAGCTTATGCTCCATTAGGAGTAACAGGCTTAATTAAGTAAGTAAGTAACTTGCCATTCTTTTCACTTAACTATATATGGTGTCTCTTAAAACTGTATCTCATTCTGGTCTTTCTAGATTACTTGATATTAAACGACATATGTGTAAACCATCTATCCGAATAGTGTTCATAATATTTTCAAAAAATTATCAAAATGTGATATTACTGTTTGTTTGTTTTTTTCCTTCTTTTTCAGCTCTTTAAACTTTTCTCAGTTTATATAAGTGTGCAATACATTTTACTATGTGAGTATACTTAATCCAATGATAATATTCTAATTTTTAGGGAAAATTCAATGAAACTTTTACAAGTTCAAGTTTTCTTTCGTCATGGTGCACGAACACCTTTATTTCATGTAAAATCACCTATTTTTCCTGAGGTACATATATATATTACCATAACTATGGTATATTATTATATTCCAGGCTCTATGGACTCCAGAAATATCCACCGATCTACCACATACTTTATTTCCTTATTGTTTAATTGATATTTCTACACAGAAACAAGTTCAATTATCTCCTGACTATTTAGATAAATTATTTATCTTACCTGTAAGTCTTTTCGTCTTTGTTATCATTAAAAAACGAAATTGATTTTAGGGTGGAAATAGAGTTGGTGAATTAACTAAAGGTGGTCAACAAGATGCTTTTAATTTGGGTACACGTTTAAAAAAACAATATAAAGAAAATTCTAATTTCCTACCATATAAATTTCAACCATCACAATTTTAGTATGTCTATTCCAAATCATACGCATAAATCTGTGTTATTCTTTCGTTAGTCTAAGGACCACTTTCATTGCTAGAACTATTAAATCACTTCGTTGTGTTATGGCTGGTTTATATGGTGATAATATATCATTAAGTAAGTATGATTACATTCGTATACTACTTAAACACTTTCATTATTAGCTGAACCTGTCAATTTTGAATGTGAAAAACTAAATACTGAAATTCTTTTTCCAAATCCACATACATGTGAACTTCTTTTACAATTATTCAATGATGGTGTTACGGAGTGTTGCAAGTCGAAAACGTTTCAAGAAATGAAACAAAAACTGAAAGAAATTTTAGGTAAGTATTATTAGTGATTAATTTAGTGTAAAAGACGCCATTTTATTTGTATGTCATACTTTAGCTCTTATTTAATCTCATTTGCTTTATTATACACTCTGTTCAATAAATAAACGAATGTAGGTCATATATTGCATATTTTGCAAAGTTTAGGGGTGGGACTAAACTTTATGGATGAAGCTATCGCGGGTTTTCAAGGTCACGGCTCGATCACGATCATTTTTTATCATGAATCGGCTATTTGAAAGTACAAGTTACTGCACACATACAGTAGTTACATCAGATTGGGTAACCGATGGTCATCATGATCTTACTTTGAATCCATTTACAATAAACTGTTCTATCCAATACACTATCTTCATCGGCAACTCTTAGTATTTCATGGTTTTTTATTAAGATTTTTTGATACGTTTTAACAAAAACTTGATGTAGTTCAATCTACGTCTTTATTAGACAGCTCATATAATTTAAGTAATTAATTTATAGTTAAACAGTTACCATGTACACAATCGTGTGTTTGAGTTACACTTTGTGTGTTGGTCTTAATATTACTGATCTCAGCACTACTTCTCCAACTGCTTTTAATACTACTTGATTGCTTAAAGCGACATGGATTGGAGTTGAAACTTGCTAAACAGAGGTTGAAAGACTAATGTTTTCCCCGTTTAAACTCACTACCTCATCTAAATACTAATACTGATTTACAACTTAGGGCCTTCTGTGTTTGGCATCCTATCACTTAGTTGCATATTTCAGTTCAAATATAATTACCCTGGCTCAGAAATTAAGTAGTGTCTGTTTATGCAGTTAGTTCCCTTTATGAATTTAAATAAAGACAGAACAAATATTGATGCAGAATAATATGAATTCATTATATTTCGTGGTTTCTCATCAGCTGCTTGCAACCAAATATGCATTAGAGTTTTAGCATTGGGATAATAAATAGGAAGGAACGACTGACATAACTGAATGTAAAGGATCGGAATAACAAAAGTCATCAATGATAACTATATATATATATACGGGCAAGGAAAGGTCAGAGGTTATTAGGTATTAAAATGAAGGGTGGCGTAATAGTTGAGTGGAGTTCAAAGACAGATAAGATCAAAAATGTGATTATTTTAGAGGTAATTAAAACAATTAGGGTGGGTTACGTAATAATTGAATAATTTTTAGAGGTAGTTGGAAACAATTAGGGTGGGTTACGTAATAATTGAATAGAATTTGGATAGTTCGTATTATTAGGAGAGAGTGGAAATGTATGAGAGAAAGGGTGATTTAAGAATTGGGTAAGGAAAGGGGAATACAATAAAAACTGAATATTAACCAAAATTAAACTAATAACAACAAAACTGAAACAAAAAAGGATTACCAGGGTAGTAATAAGTTTATCACTATCTCTTTTTGAGTACACAGATCCGGTTTGAGTTTTTTTATCGCGATCGCTTCAGCGAACCGGACAGCAGTTGTACTTCTTTGTTTACTAATGATTTTAAAGGCATGAGAAATGTCAATACTGTGCCCGGTGTCGAGTAAATGCCGAGCTATCGCACTGTTGAGAGCCCTGAACCCTTGCAGCCTCAGTGTCTTAGGAACATGTTCAGTCTGTTTAACTTCTCCCCCCCAAAAAAACATACACGATTTGCTAACTAACTCGAATTAAGTTAATGAGTTTAATGTATGATATATATTCTTAATATAAAGAGTATATGTTGTATGCTAGTGTATTTCCACCATATTGTTTGTTCAACAACTAATGAATGGACTAGGGTATGAAGTTGCAACTTTTTGGTTGAGAGCCTAATGCTTTAATCACTCAAAAATTACTCTATAATTTCTTTGATTAGATGACGTTATATATGTTTCTAATAGAATGAAATACGTGACAGTATTATTACTCTGCGATCCATTGTTAGGTATCAAAACTTTAGAATTTTAAACGATATTGAATGTCAATAAAATAGAAGGGCGTTTTGTGGAGATTTTAGTCATTTTATATAGTTGAAATCATGAGTCAATTGTAGCTAGACCAACATGGAAAACCTGGAAGTAATGAACGGCCGTTTCGTCTTATTATGCGACTGCTCAGCAGTGCGCATCTACGATTCAAGAGGTATTTCCTGGATTTCTAGTGAGAAACAGTGACCAGTGGAGTTCAACCAGGTCTGTTGTGAGATATCAACTCACTGAAGACATCGGTGAATGTGTCACTTAATTTCGTGGATTGGTTGAAGTTAGACATTAACACCATTGAATGCCGGCTCAGTGGTCTAGAGGTTGAGCGCTCACGCGCGAAACTGATAGGTCCTGGGTTGGAATTTCATGAGGCGGGATCGTGAATGCGCACTGCTGTGAAGTCCCATAATAGGACGAAATGGCCGTCCAGTACTTCCAGATTTTCCATGATGATCTAGCTTCAATTGACTCATAATCTCAACTATATGTAAATAAAATAATCATTTTTCTTCGATTCTAAATCATGCACTATCTAATGTTGATCTTTGTTCTACGATTTGATGATGTCATATAAAAAATGTAACTTATAACGAAATTCGGACTATTTAAATCCATATACAAACAATATTTTTGATAAATAACTAATTCTCTATGAAATCGGTTCTCTTCATAACTTTAAGTCAAGCAAAGAATGACATTGATGATAGACTATATTGAATTCCACTGTATTTTGTTGGTTTATCTTTAGTTATATAAAAGCTAATAGGTTTCATTATGTTAAATGTTTACTGTTGAAATGGTAAGGACCCACAGCCCCCAAATGCCCTGGTACGGCTGAGAGTGGGGAGAGTCACCCTCCCTCTCGAAATACTCTCATATGGCCAGCGAATATATAGCCTCTGCCAGGGAAGTCCTACTCACTGCCTTCTCGTGGCGAGGGTGTTGTTTACGAAAGTGAGAGGACGAAAAGCGAATGTCCGGCGCTTTAACCGGGTTGGTGGACCCTCCGTGTCCACCTAGGGGAGTTGGGAAACCCTGATTCCAAACCAATGGTGCACATGGGCTCCAGTTTCCTGATGGAACGAATGGCGGACGAACCTTTCATTGGTCACCGGCTACCATGGGACTGCATCTCCTCACGATGCTCCACTGCCTTGTGGATCAGACCTTTTGGTCAAAGGCTCGTGGTGTGGCCCCCTAAGAAAACCACCTGCTTTGTTTTGGTCACTCGGGCAGTATCACAGCTCACAAACAAATATATGAAATGATGAACTCTATTGACGATACTATCCCTGCTCATACTAGAAGCAAGACAATTTACATTATTTATTATTATTATTATTATTATTACCTTTATTATTATTATTATTTACCATATCGCTAACTCACCCCCTTTCATCCCCAATTTGTGTAACCTTGCTTTTCAACTTATGCAGCAGCTCGCCCATGGTGGAAAATCTGTCCTATCTAAACGATCTCCAGTCACTGTCTGGTTGAATGTGAATGCTTCCACCGATTATGAATACTGAAGCAGTCTTTCTGAAACCACGTACGCCGTTCAAGCTGGCTTCCTTCAACGTTCGCACGCTAATGCATATCAGACAACAGATAGGGCTGGTTATGTCTTTGGAAGGTCTTAATGTTGATGTTTGTTGTCTATCCGAGACCCGTATTCAAGACTCTAGTGAAGTACTACAAATCCGCTCTCCATCTGTCTCCTCGAAAAGCTTGTTCCACGTGCGCTTATCCGGGGACCCTGTGGCATCTTCGTCTGGTCTTGCTGACGTTGGCGTCGCACTAAGCGCTAGGGCTGAGGCAGCACTAATCGATTGGTTCCCCATTAACAGTCGGTTATGTGCTGTTAGATTAGAAAGTTCTATCAAAGTGAGAAGAAATCGGCGTGAGAAACGGTGTCTTTTCGTCATCTCCGCCTATGCCCCGACAGATTGCAGCCCGGATGCAATCAAGGATGAGTTTTACCATCAGTTAACAGTTCTTCTCCAGAAAGCGCGTTCGACAGATATTGTAGTACTATCCGGAGACTTGAATACACAGGTCGGGCGTCTAGGCACAGAAGAGAGTCGTCTAGGTGGCCGATGGGGACTTGTTGGTCGCAGGACAGATAACGGGGACCGTTTGCTGCAACTGTGCACAGACCACAACCTGTTTCTGGCCAGCACTAACTTCCGGCACAGTCATCGCCGGTGTGCCACCTGGCGTCCTCCCTCTTCATCCCAAGCCTGGACTCAGATTGATCACATCGCGATCAGCTACCGCTGGCGTGGTTGTGTACAAGACTGCCGCTCCTTTTGGAGTACCTATCTGGAGTCTGATCATGCCCTGGTCTGCGCCAATCTCACCTTACTTTTCAGTGGCCGAAGGATTGACCACCACCAACGGATTGATATTAGTAAACTGGCTGCAACTTCTGTTGCAAGTAAGTATAGAGCGGAGCTAGCCTCTAGGCTAGCTACCACCCCACCGAAAAGTATAGATGAGCATTGGTTGCATCTTCACGACGCCATGAAAATGGCGAGTAAAGCCGCTTGTGGCTTCGCGAAACGTCCCGCTTACAAGCACTGGGTTTCTTCTGGCTCCTTACAACTGATGGAAGCCCGTCGGTTTACTCCGGGCGACCGTGAGTTTGACCACAAACGAAGGCTGTTACGTAATGAAATCGGGCAAAGCTTGCATAAGGACCGAGAAGCCTGGTGGTCGGAGCGCGCTAATGAGATGGAAGCAGCAGCTGCATCTGGTAACTGCCGGAAGCTCTTCCAACTCATCCGAGCCACTGGCAGCAAGAAGTCTGGTGTGAGTGAAACAATCTACGAGGATGACGGGATGCCAATCACTAACATCTGTCGACGTCTTGGACGATGGACGGAATTCTTAGAAGGGCAGTTCAACTGGCCTGCTGCTCCGGCAACATCAACCAGTTTGTCCTGCCCCCCATGGCCGGTGACGACTGTTCCACCAAACGAGGCGGAAGTCCGCAAGGAACTCCAACTCTTGAAACGTTACAAATCACCGGGCCCAGATGACTT